GACTTTGCTCTGCCTATTGGAACGTTATCCTCCGTAGTTTCTAACAGCGGGACAAGCCTACGAATTGACGTTAAGCCCAACTTCTGCTTGATGGAGCTTCCAATGTGATGGTTTGCAAAAGCCCAACACACACAACATTTACAACAACAGTCGGAACCCAAGCATGGACCAACAAGTGCTACCAAATGTAAAGACTATAGGTTACGCTTGCCTATAGGCTTTACAATATTAGACACCAATTCGTTGGGAATCATTTTAGAAATTGTTAAACCTCGGGAACCCATTATATCGACAATTGACTGCTTTTGTTGCTTTCAATTGAGCAGATCGACAGCTTAATTGCACTGCAAGTAGCTCTCTAGTGAGAGGTCGGTCAGCCGACAGGTAAATACAATTTCCATTATTCAAGAGATGAGAAGTTAGACTTTACTATGACTGTGTTCGGTTACACCAGGGCTTATTCACAGCAGAACACGCGTAGCTAAATTATTCAGTCGTGCGGGCCAGGCAAGCCACATACCACATCAAATGAAGTGCCGGTGCGGGAATTGCAAGCGCATATTGCTAGTCGAAAGTTTGGCTTGAGGCATTATGCTGCGCAGTGATCTGGTATGTTTCACTCATAGACCGAGACGACTGTAGACGATCGTCCTGGGACAAGAGAAGATGTAGCTGACGCAAATATGGCGAGATGTGGTGCCATGGAGGCGCCACCGTCAAGTTAAACCACGCCTTAATCATCTTAAAGTATTGTTGTTACAACGGCACCAGACTCGAATGAATCCTGGTCGTGACAACGCCTGGTGGGGCTTGCTGGATGAGTAAGGAAGGACCCAGCTCTATGTGGAGCGGCATATGAACCGGCGGGTATATCAAGGCTGTCACTAATCTCAGGTGAACAGAAAGTGTCACACCAAACAAAAAAACATGGGATTTATGGATTTCATATAGGCAAGGTTGTTATAGCCAATACCGCTTACGACTCGGCACAACCAGGTCGTGCTTCTTACTTTGTGAAGTACTAAATGGTGCTCAATTTGAACATCTGCACCCAAAATTGCTTGTGAAATTGTGAGATGGGTGAGTGTAAAGGCTACACATAGCCGTTACATGAAGGAACCTTCTTTATGCATTGTGGGAATTAATAAGAAAAGATTACAGTATGGTGTTCCCAAATGCATACGTGATTTCTTATATGAAGTCAAAAACATTCTGCGTGATACAGAAACCTGATCTCTTTCTGGGAATCTGTACTGGTGACGAGATCAACGTCTCTCTGACTTTCAAGTGGTGGCGTAAGCCAGTCCTTTCAATTGGATATGTTCCACGTTTGTTGAAGTTCAAGCTTTCAATAATCAAGCCCCGAACACCCAAGGTCGTATCTTAGTTCAATCTAAGGTTTAACCTTCGTAAACCCTTGATTAACAATCAGAAACCCAAGTTTTTATCAGTAAAACATATGGGAGCCCTAGGAGTGTTTTGCATGTAGCTAGGAGCTCCTTCAGTTGCAAATTTGCTTTGACGGGCTTAAATCGTTCTCTTTACCCCCAAGTCGGGACTGTTCTTCTACCTCCACGTCCGGAATCGCTTCGTCGTCGCACAAGCACGCCTGTCGTGACTGAGGGGCTGTTTGAGAACAGCGCCTTCTTGTAGTGAGGCAACGTATCTTCGTTATCCAGCGCGCGATGTGACACTCATGGGCACGGTTCGCCCCTTTGTGTAATTGGAAAGCTTGCTCACATAGGCGTGAAAATGATCCGCCCCAGTGCGGCGAGTGGCATTCGCTGTACTGAGATCATAACCACAGCGTGGTGAGATCGGCAATAGTCGTTCCGACTTTTGCGCTTGCAGCCGAGCAAATCGAGCTACCTGAGCCAGGTCTAGCTCATTGATGACAAGGTGGACGTCGTCGCGAGCTCCGCGCGAAGTTTTTCACTTCCTGTAGATTATGGACAGGAAATATATAACCCATGCACTGGATATGATAGGCTTAGAGTCCGCCTCTTTATCTGTAAACGGCTCGATCGTATGTATCTTGACAAGTGGGGGTGTCGTCGGGACTTAAATTTTACTGTGTTAAAAAACACGTCAGTAACTTTACCAGAATTTTTGATTTAAAAAAATATTAATTTTTTGGTTTAGGTTATTTCTTGATGTTGTCGGTTATAAGGACCGCGTTTTTCTTATATGCTCGCTCAGCCATTAATAGAGGTAAAAGTCCGGCACAGACGTACTGAAGGGTGCATGAGAGGAGGGAAATTCCAAGCGAATTGTGCGCTTCTTGAGCGTTGATGCTGCTCAAATTTTAAGTGGCAAAAGAGGTGCAAGCCCTTTATGCTCGTGAGGGGAGGTTCTTGTTGTGTAGTATTGTCGTACAATTGTGCACAATACAAGATATGCAATAGTATGACATTAACATT